ACTTTCTCTCATGTATTTCTCTCCAAGACCTTCTTTAATTGGTTTAAATAGTCACAGGTGTGTTTGGATGCCATGCTTGGTTCAAGAGATGATCCAGATGATGCACATCCAGTAGAAAAACATAACAGCATGTGACATGACTGATGCACATTGAAGCTGCCAGCCCCAAAACTGATGGTTACTTGACAGTTGTGAAAAAAGGCAACATTGCTGTTTTTCTTTGTTTCTATTGGAAATCCTGGAGTTGCACAGACTCCAGGCTGGTAAGGCCAGATAGAATGAACTTGTTATTCTATAGCTCCTACAGGGCTTGTATTTATACTCTCCAGGCTTATATCTAGAATTTACTACAACTTTCTCTTTCTCTTAAGCTTACTCATCAATTCTCAGCATGATACTGGATTGCCCTTTCTAGAACTTTCTGGAAAAATTCCAACAGTTTCCTTCCCATTTATGGAAGCCAACTGTACACTTGATACTTTCTATATTTTATAATTAAGCATATTTTCAACTTCCATTGCAAGAAACAATGGATGAAATCAAAGTCAGTGTCTCTGATAGGACCTGAGTCCATCTTCGCTAACTTAAATGTCTTTTGACATGGAAACACATCTTCAAGTTCCTTGGATTTGCTTCTGAGGCTTGCAGAGCTGGTGGTCAAAGAACCCTCTTTGTTCCAGGCAGTTGTCAAAATTGTGCATGGATGACTATCCAATCTAGAAAGGCTTAGTGAACACTATGATGCTTCTGGCCCTAGTCATAATCACAAAACTTTTGAAAAAGTTATCATCATGTTTAAAGTGCTAAAATCAGCCCTTGCACTACAAAGTTTTCAGAGTTCAGCCAAAGATTGAGCTTCACTTCAGAATGTCTCTGGAACAATATAGAATGGGCACTGGGTTTTTACTACAAGCATTTTATCAATACCATTGAAGTTCCCAAAGACAAGGAGCACCTCCTTGAGGTCATTCAATTTTAGATGGATTGGACATGCATCTGTACTACCAGTATACCACAATATCCCTGTCTTCTCACCACTAACTCATTCAGAAATGTTTTGACCACACCATCCAAGACAACACTGGAGCAAATTGTTGCTCTATCATGTTGACTCAGAAGTCAACTTATTTGCCTTCTGAAACATATCCAGTGGATGTTGCCATTGCAGAATTCTCTGATAAATATGGACATGCCCTCATCACCAAACATGCATCATCTTGGTTGTGCAGACAACTTTCTATCCATATCTCTAAAAAGAAGAACAAGATCAATCAGAATCCACTTCACTCAGTTGAGGTCATTTTGACTGGACTTTGGAGGTTTGGTATGAAAGGTCCTCATTTCATTGCCAATATGCTGGAGAGAAATATCATAGCACTTCTGTCAGACTGCACTTCGCTACCAGGGCTGAGATGGCTCTTGGAACATAGTAGATGCACATTATTTTACATAAAGTTTGGTCCTTTTCACTTATGACTCATAGTTCTGATCCCATAATTACCAGTGTAACACTTTGAAAAACTTAGGTGACAATGGCAAGTCAGATCCTAGAAAGAAAGATTGGCTCTGGCCAGTTTTGAGGCATTGCTCAAAATGTCATTTGGTATTCTACTGCTCTGCAGAATGCCAAAATGCTGATTGAAAGTCCTGGCACAAGAGTTTCTGCAACAAAGCCTCACATAGACTCCTAGGTCAGTTATCAATTGTCCTTGATGACTGGAAATATGAGCTGAACCTTCACTTCAGCTGAGTTTCCCTCTGTCCTCACTAAACACAACAGGCATTTCATTATTTTATATGGTGGAACAGGACATCTGTGATAATGAAAAACTGATTGCAAGGCTCAAAGCTGACCATAAAGGTCTGGGCATGCAACTTGTTGAAATCGATTATGATGCTGTTTCTCATATGATCATGATCAAATCATCAGAGGAGTTTTGAGATAGAGAAATTTCTGAGGATCACATGGAACATGTCAAGGCCACAGAACCCCAGATGATCATGATGCTATAAAACTGATAGATTGTTTGATGCAATTGTGATCTATCTATTTGACTGGTCCACACTTGTTAAGATGTTCTCTCTCTCTACCACCTCATACTGGTAACTATGAATTTGATCCTTATCTGACAAGGAAAAGATAACCATGAGATAGTCAGATCTGCAATCATGAGGTACAGTACATTCTAAGAGGTGAGAATTCTAGAACAAAAATGCAATTGAAAATAATGAGTAGAATGATCGAATATCTACAGCAGTGCTTTGCATCATTCCATTGAAGAGGATCTGTGTGTGTGCAAGGTGAAAACAGATACAGCAGAGCATTATCCACCATCCACACTCACACCAACACACACACAAAACTCTTAGTTCATGGGGGGATTATAATGTGATAAAAGTAGCAATCAACAAATATAATTGTCTTCTTTAGTGAGATCACAGCACACAAACAGTAATAGCATGCTTACAACAGTCCGAGGTCTTTCTAAGTCTCAAAGCTTTTCATTTTATCAAAACAAGAGGTGGCAACTGGTGTTGCCAGACCTCAAGGCAAAGGGTACTACAACTTGATACAATATGTCAAAACACTCCTTCAAAACTCTCAATTGGTTCCAAACACAGCTCAGATCAACTCAAATCTCTAACACACACAATACACAACTCAAGGCCTCATGCTCTAAGCAAAAACTAATCACAAACACATCCACAAGTGACCAAAAGCACAGATCTCTGTTCACAAGTTTCCAAACTGATCATAGACCCACAGGATTCAAACCTATGTGATCCAGAGACACAAAACACAATAAAACCCTGTCCAACTGACCAAAGGGTTTGAACCTCTGCCACCTGTAGTGCTGCATGTCATGAATACCTCAAAAACTCAAGATGATGCCCTTCAGACACTGCTCTCTTATTCTCAGGTTAGAGCACAATCCAAAACTTCTTATCAAACTGGGCTTAAGTCCTTTGTGAGCTTCAATGCCTCGCTTAGTTCTCACAGCTCTCTCAAGAGTATTCAATAATAAGTTTATTCTCTTGCCTGAAGTTACAAACACAAACCCAGAGCTAGAGTGCAAGGCTTTCTGTGCCCAATACACCACAACTGTGGGGGTCAGAAACTTTCTTCTCCAGTCATACAATACCATATTTAAATACTCTACTATGGTACTTACTAATACAATCCTACTATAGTATCCTCAAAGTGCAGGACTCCATGCTGGATCCTGTGGGTATTATTTGCATGCATATCACAGTCACTGCACTTATTCTCTTCTGGGCAAGGGCTGTGCCTGCTGTTCCTTCACTAGCTGGCCTCACCAGGTCTGCTCACTTTCTTATTTCTCTGGTGACATCTCTGACACCAGTAAACTATTCCAGACCCCCAGGGTTATCTCTCATGCCAGGAGTCAGCCACAATGGCTATGTTCTGCTTCCCTGTGTCCAGCCAGTCATTCCATCTGACTCACCAAAGATGCCATTTCTTGGTATGATGCAGAGTCCCTTGCTGTATTATGCACACTAAGGCACTGTAAGTATGCATGCTATTCATTCCTGGGATAATATTCCTCTACTTATTACTTTGTTGTCATCATTCTATTTCTCCATTCAATACCCATTTACTCAGATACCTTTCTTTGGGTCTCAGTTCTCTGTTCTAAGGCATGTCCCATCAGTGCATCAATGGCTGTGCATCTTTGATCAATGTGATCAGACTTGCTGATCATATTTCAATCATAGTCTTTTTATTTTTAGCATGTCCTCTTGTAATAGTATTGGCACATTTAGGGCCAAGTGCTGGGACCTCACATGCAGCCTAACCCCTCTGGTATTAGTCTGTTACTAGGCCATGCACTCTGCTTATTGTTACTTCAGTTTATCATTATGATAGCTAGGTTTCTGTGTGCTCTAGTCCTATTTTCTGTTACATGCTTACTGGCCTGGAATGCAGTCCATGTATTCGCAATTTTCGCAATTTTACATGCCTGAACATGGAGAGGGCATGTCAACACCCATGGCAACAGAGTTTCGAGATCCCGAATCTCGTTCTTGATGCTCCTTGACAGCCAAAGATCCACTTCCATCATATCAGGTCCCCTATACACACCATCTACAATCCAACACTCCAAGTGGTTATGAAGCAACATCCCCACGCTGTGTCCAGGACGAACACAAAGTACCTTGCTCGATGCGGAGAGACACCAAGTCTCTAGATCGGACATGTTTAGGGCACGACCTACAAGTTGCCCGTCGTTCAAGTCATTGAGATTGATCGGGTAGTTGATGTATTCCATGAACACACTGCAAGGCGAGTAGAGGTATAGGTGCCTGAGCGAGGTAAGCCGACGAATAAGGCGCAGAGAGAGGGGAAGCTTGTCTTCATCGTGCAGCCATTCATTCTTCGTGACCGTCGGAACAGTGTTTGTCCGGTGATCCCCATGATAAACACGGTCGAGTGTGAGCGTGTTGATCTGGTGGAGATAGTCTATAATGTTCTCGATTGCGTCGGTGGAATCCGTACACCAAATAGCTTCAAGGTTAATAATTGTCAAGTCGTGGATGGCCGGGAGGTCAAGATATCGCAACAAAAGTCTGACTTCTTGTGAGATTGTATACCCAAGAGTGAAGTGACCGACACGGGGAAGAGTGAGCCTTCTGTTGGTAAGACCGAAGTCATTGGGAAACTCGTCTGTGGAGATAACACCGTTAAGCTCGAGAACCTCCATGGTATCGACACTTCCAGCCAGGATCCCTCGTAAAATGGAGGCCGAAGGCCTTTCTTCAAATGGCTGGAAACGGAGACATAGCCTAGTCAGGTTTCTGGGGCAAAAGAGATGCCAACGGAAGGGAACACCCGACAAATCCAACATTTTGAGGGCCGGGTACATGTATTTGTTCCAGAGAATCCGGTCCTCAGTTGAAGAAATTGAGGGGTGCTGAAGGACGTCGATCTCCCCCTCCTGTAGGAAGTCCTCAAAGTCTTCTTCGAAAGTAATTTGGCTCTACGATCGGTGGCAGATCTCGAACTCTTGCAGACGGGGCATTGGTACGTTACGGAACACAGTTAAAGCATTGACGTGGGAACTCCAAAATCCTGTGTCTACGGAAAAGTTTTTGATACGATGCGCGTGCTGGACGAGGAGTCGAGAGATACAGAGAAAGTGCTTGTCGGTAAAGACCATATGCGACGGCTGGAGGCTCGCGTCGTCGTGAAATGGTGCTGATCCTATTCGAATGAATACATCGATATCTAGATGAGATGAACGTTTGAGAAATGAAGACACTCTAGGGAAGATCGCCTTGGGTCCCAAGTCGGTGTCAAGGACGAGCGCTGTAGCGGCTGGACTATAATCTGGCGAGCATTCGGTGATGTAGAGGCGCGTCCACAGGGGTGGATAGTTAACTGCTAAGGCGCGCCATCCTTTACATATGACGGAGAGGAGGAAAGGATAGTCAACCCGTCCGCTGGTCCATAGTGCGGTGGTAAAAATTTCGATTAGAAGCTCGTTCGGGAGCTTCGTAATATGGTCCTCACGTGTCGTCTGTTCGAGTAGCTGCACGGAAACGCGAAGGCTATAGTGAACGTCAGAAAGGCACTAATGTGTCGATGTGTTGAAGACATAGACATACTTCTGCATGACGGTGACTGGACTATCGAGACTTTAGGGGAAGAATCAGAAGAAAGTATGGGAGAGAAGACATGTAGTGGCTGCCTCAAGCAAGGCATCTTTATATGGTTGCCCTTGTTTGCAAACAAACAATGAATTTTGTGACGTCGGGTGCCAGTGGCACCTAGAATCACAGGCGAATATATTGTATGGTCTTTTCGAAGGAGGTCGTAGGTCGGCGTCTTGGATTCGGTTGACTGGCGATGAGGCCCCTCAGGGGTCGTGAGAAGGTCCGAGGTGGCGTTCGTGGCGTTCACCGATCAAACCAGGGGGAACCTGTGTATTTCGTTATTGCTCCCTGGCAGGTCAAAGCTTCACTTTCGTTGACCAACGACGCCAATGAAGATATCATAAAGACAGGCTATCATTACAGCCCTAACAAAAGGGTCAGAGCCGCAGCAGGATGGATAGGGAATTGTTTCGGCAATGTCATGATGTTCATCTTTGTGTAGGCCGTAGCCGTTCATCGGGTCCAGGAAAGTGTCCTGTCTTGTAATCTCCTGGAACTTTTGCGGTTGGTCTCCTCGACCTCTCATTCCCTTCTAAAAGAGGCTAGGTAAACCACTTCAGCAGAGGAAGAGCAGAACCACGGTCATACAATTTAAAGTTAATAAGACCTCCCGCCCATGCGACTTCTATTCCTTGATTCAGAAAATGATTGCAACAGCACGGCAGCCAACGCATCTAAACAGAGAAACCTGTTCACAAGAACACAGCGCCAAGAAGATGAGATCTGAGGTTCCTGTAGGAGGGTTCCACACCTGGGGAAGCCAGCCAGACCATAATGACTCGACTTATAATAAATAAAACAATATACTGGAACCGTATCGCTGGGTTCTGTAGGCAAATAGACACAATAAAAAAAGAAAGCTACGGTACGAACAACGGAAAATTACGCCAGTCAAACCCGCCCTAAAATGCACATGACCCCAATGCGTCTCTGGCGCTAGAAGACCATGGACTGCCGCCGTTGTATTGCTATGGAGACAGTGAATAAGATCTTCATTCTCCATTGTCAATCGAACAGCAGTGCTGATGTTCAAGTTTATCACTGCTGTGTTGTTCTGTGCTTCAAGTCGCTCGCAAGTTTTCTGGTCACGCTTTGGGCATATCCTCCAGTTACGTAGTAGAAGTGAAGCCTTTACGAATCATCGAACTCACTTGAAGCTTGGAAATTACAAACGTCCGCCCTAGAGCAATGGCCGGCCTGTCAAGATATAGCATCAGAGGTGACAGGAAACATACCAGCTCGTACAGTTTTTTCGACCCGCTCGGTTATCGACAAAGAGCGGAACAGGTTCAATCTCTGACTTGACCTTTTCTTGGTGGGCTTGAGAACGTCATCCGGACGAGATACAAGCTATCCATCTCATTGCTTCCATTCCCCGGTTTATAAACCAGCGTATATGATAGATGAAGTCGGCAGGCTTTGGAAGCACGAGGCGATGAGCAAAACTGCAACACGATGGTCGTCGGACCTGGACCATCCGTGGTAAGCAGAAATGCGGTGAGGATGCTCGACTGTCCATATTCAGTATATATTGTCCATCCCGACATAAAAGGATATTGAGCTCGGCCGGCGGGATACGACGGAGCTCCTGCTTGCTAATCCAACAAAATTCATACAGACTACACAGGAACTGGGGGATAGAGAACAGGCCATGAAAGGGACCTAACCTCAGTGATCCAGGATTCTCCAGCGTAAGGATACTGAAAGGTTATCAGTTGATATCATGACCAGAACATCACGAAATTAATGCCTTACCTCCCACACCATTGCGCCGCCATCTGCAATCGTTTTACGCTCAGCAGGGTTCATCAATTGTAATACATGGGACAACTTACTCCATCCTTGATTCTTCGCGTCCTGTAAGCAAGTTGCCAGAGTTGAGGTGGTCATATAACCACTGCCTGCATCGCCAGCCGTCGCTGGCTTTCCGATGACTAATTTCTCAAGAGGGACACCACTGTTAGCGATCTGGAATAAGGAGGTTTGGGGCCATGTCTCAGACGAAGTAGTCAGTAACCCGCTGCAGGTGGTGTATTCAGTGTCTCCCTCTGTCAAAGGTCATAAGAAGTTGAAGAAGGGCAAGCGATCGACTTACGGTTATAAAACTTGAGAAGAATGAGATGAGCGCTAAGATTACACAGGTGTGATTTCACTGACTTGGACGTTATACCAATCAATCAAGTTTCCAACGTCCGCGTGTACTTTCAAGTACCCGCCTCCAGGATAATAGGTCGGCGTGAACCTAAAGAAAGATATTAGCAGTCGGCCGCTGATCAAACATCAAAGAATTGAAATGACCAGGGAGCAACAGCTGCATCGAGACGCTTCAGCAACCATGATTAGACTGAGAATGAACGACTGACGAGCATGAGAGATGATGTAGGATCCCAGAGGAAGATTCACCCGCAGCTGGGTGGTGAAACTCGTCAACCAGGCCTATCACGTATCAAAACCTGGATATAGAAGCAAAGTAAGGCAGCCCACCTCGGCTGTACCTGAGTTCATGGCGTAAAAGTCCTAAGTGTTCATATGAGAGACAGAGAATCATAGGTTAAAAGAACATCATACTTCGTAATCAATATCTATGCCATCCAGGTCATACTCAATGACCCATGCAGCCATGGTATTGGCAGTCGCGACCGGATCTGCCCCCGTAGTAGTTGGAACATTAGTGGAACCAAAGGCAGACACTATGAGTGAGATGCCAGCGGCGGCATACTCTGATTTAATGGCACATCTCTCCGAACTTGTAAGCGTTGTCCATTCGTAGGCCTAAATCATCGTTCAGTGACCGGCATGTACAACGCGAAGTAATTTGCCTTATCCCATGCCCCCTCTAAAAGAAGGAAAGAAAGTGCACTGAAAATCAATTTATCAAAGCAACGTGAGGGAGATCACTGAAACGAAAGATTTACAAGACGTTGAAGTCCTATGAAATCGTTCGTCAGCAATCTTGGAAGATTGGATATGGAACAGTGTCTTCCATACCCTAACTTCAGACACTGCTGGTGGTCCAGTAACTCCCCACATATAAGCATCAGCATACACAACCCAATGCGGTGCACCAGGGGTGGCTTGCTCTAGGATGCTCCGTGCGTTTCCACTGAGTCCAGCGAACGCTGTACCGTTCACAGGGGCGGAGAACCCGGGAACAGCCATAATAGCAACAAGAAGAAATAGCGCGAAATCAACGAAAGAGCGGAGAGCCATCTTGAATGTTGATTTTTAGGAGTTCGTTTTGACGCCTTATATATACCAGTGATTAGGATTTCACGAGCTTCAGATTTTAGGGGATGTGGAACTAGAGTCATGTCTTCAATACGTACCGCACACTCTCAGATGGACCAGATGTCTAATCGTAAAGAAATCAGTTCAGATTATCAAACTTGCAACAGACTCTGCTAGGACCCCAGAAGAATTCGAGCAAAGAACCAAAAGGCGCTCTCAAGCCAGGATACTTCAAATACTACCGCTTAGTTGCGTTAGCACTGACCTCAGCACGGAGAAATACGTCGTTAAAAGCTTTTCAATTGGCAAGAACGCGTAGAAAACAGGTAAAAAGTGGGCGCCATGCGGTCTGTTCTCAGCCAGGATATCATGCCAAGTGGCAGCAGAGTAGTCGCGAGGAACGATTACAGTAATATGAGACAACGCTACGCATATGGTCGCGAAATGAGTCTGCGCCTGTGTGTCTGTGAGTTAAAAAAACTGAAAAAGGTGATTCCATGCGGTTCCTGCGATGGCCAAGAGACAATGATAAGCTGCGGATGGTAGTCTTTTGCATAGATAAGAAATATCCTTATCGACTGCCCCGCTATGGTTAAAGGAAGGTTGGTAGCAGCGATGTCTCCCGAAGATGCTCCACGTGGGATTGGACAAAAATAGATGTCATCGATCAGTGAATCACACGAGCATTTTCCCCAGTTCACTGGTCAGACGGTTGTATAGGAAATAGGGTATTGGAGGAGTAATAAGTAGTGGAAGAGATGCATATATCAGACCGGTGATGATTCCGCCCTGACCGTAGCAATCCAGGACTCATCTGCGTGGGGGTACTGCCATCAATATTTTTTTTGTGTGTTCAGTACTTTGCGCCCCCGTGGTGGGCTAATTGATTAGTTTGAATCTACGGTCGGCAGAAGCCGTGAGGTGCTTTGCGAGCGTGTCTTGGGTGCCGGCTGGGTTGGTCGTGTTCCATTGTGTGGTGGGTACGCGGCGCATACTGCCGTCAATGCCTTCGTTAAAATTTGTTTAAAATATTGAATTCTATATTTATTTATTTATTTTTAATATTTGCAGTATTATTCCAATAATGTTTAAAATAATCTTCTGATATTTTAGACTGAAATCTGAAAAAAAAAATAGTTATAGAATTCAATACTCTGAGGTGTAATATTGAATTTTCCAGTGATATAGTCTATAAGAGTCACACATACCTGCCACATTATCACACCTCCATCTTTTGATTCAGTAGCTGATAAGTTATCATGTTTGTTGGATTAGATGAAAAGACTGACCTCATCCTTAGTCTTTGGCAAGGCAGATTGCTAAAGTGTCTGGACTCATGTAACTGTTGGCAGCATCTCTGACCATTGCAGGCTTTCTGATACACTAGTTTGAAAAGGTCTATGCCATTATTGGCAATTGGGAATAGGGCTGTGCTATTCCAGGTATTGGAAGATGCTTAATAGCCCATTGTAGATGGTATATTCATCTGTCCCCTCTAGTAGAAACATCAGAATGAGAAATAATCTAAAGAGAAACAGGGTCTCACAGTTATAGAATGACAAGGCACAATTGTCAATTAAGCCTGACAAGAAGAGGTTACTCACTTACTTGAAAGTTATATCAATTAATCATGTCACCAACCATCTTGTAAACCTTAAGGTATCCTCCACCACCATAGTACACAACATTTTGTAAATATTTGTGTAGTTTTATTTAAGTTCATCTGACTATTACAAGACAGTGCTTTGGGAGGTAAAAAAAATTCCCTCTTTGTCTCACACATTTATGAAATCATTGAGGACCATGATGATGGAAATAGTTAGGCTGAGATAAAGATATTCACACTGAGTCATAGCATGTCTCTAACCACTGTTCCAAGACTTGGATCATAGTCTTTATCAGAAAACTTCAATCTCATACTTATGCCCATCAGGATTCCATTTTTCTTTGAGGAGGTTCCCATTGACTAACCAGCATGGTACAGAGTGTTTCTGCACCATTAATACTGAACTGAAGGGTAACAATTTTGTATAGGTTTGGCCATAGTGCTTAGCACACTGTCCACATTGCTGTTGGAAGTTTTATTGACTGGTATAGTGTCCAGGTGTTGGGTTTCTCCATTTGCATTAAGTCATAAATACAGAAACCTACATCATGCACAGGTCTTTGCAGAGCCTTGTCCTTTCCAATAATGCACTCTTATGTGATGTAGATCCACTTCTGGAGACAGGTTCAGAGGATGATATGATATTTGTAGCACCAGCAATATACATTGAGGCTTTACCCTTGCTGGGATGTGATGCAGGTAGCCATTTGATGATGACATAAAAAGAACAAGAAATGATTTTGGAGTCATCCTTGTACTCTATAACATGATATGTAAGCTTGGGAAAAAAAAACAAGTGTGGGTACACACACCTTGCTTGGAGGTACTGTCACAGATATAAAGATCAAAATCATTTGCTTTGCCCATATTGTTCACTAGAATAATGTCAATCAAAAACAGAGAAACCAGTGCCATCAAAGGACACTCAATATTTGTCTCTTCTTGAGTTGGACTTGTAAAAAACAGAAGATGCTATATCTATAAATTGATGAAGCAGATACAGTTGACTATCTCACAATGCATGATGTCGAAATGCATAATTCTGACTTTGCATATGGATTGGGCTGGAATGCAGTTGAGAAGCAGGGAAATAGGCTAGAAATGCATATCGCATAATGCATATGGTTCTAGTTAGGAATATGCATTGTCAGATCAAAAATTATAGTAAGCTGATATGACATTATGCATATATTAGAACAATAAAGAACATAATTTGTTTGTATAGACTATGACAAACACAAAAAAAATTATTGTAAAGTGACACAGCCTATATCTCTATAAACATGCCTTCTGAACCAACACAAAAACTGCATGCTAAACCTGGAAATCCATATAAGCATACAAAACAGAAGGAGAAAGTCCCAATGTACACATCATCAGCTCAGCCTCTAAAGCAGATCTCCTGCCCACATCTCACAACAGGAGACTGGCTCATAGTATTCAAACATGTTGATAACCATCCTTCCCATTGACATGCTGACATTGTGGCACATTTCACAAACTAAAAGGAAGGTGTACTGCTCTTTACCCAATCAACTCTTTTATGGAAACTGGCATCTCATACAAAAATCAAACAGCATGCAAATGAGAACCCTAATGCACTATCATCCAAAAAGTCTCATATTGTCACCCAACCTGATGTGGAGCATGCTGTTGCATCCTGGTATCAGAACATGCAGCTTTGAGATGAGACTGTGACTGATGCAATGCTGATAGAGAAGTGAAATCAGATTGAAAATCTGATGAATATTCCAGAGGATCAGTGTTTGAAAAGAGAGGGATGGTTGAGGTCATTCTGCAAGGCATGGAAGATTCAGGAGGTTTGGCAGCATGGAGAAGCAGGCTCAGTGGATATGGTGGCAGTGGAGAAAGAACATGTGTGTCTTTATAGCATTATGATAAAATATGTGATGTAGGACAGATAGAATATTAATGAATCTGGTCTTGTCATCTTTGCTATTCCAGATTGTATCTTGGTGTCTGGTCTTATGAGTGAACAGAAACAGGACAAGTTTCACATCACCATGTATTTTGCTGTGAATGCAGATGAGAGTGAGTGGATGCCAGTTGTTTTTATTAGAAAGTCAAAGCAACTATGGTGTTTTAAAAAAAAGAGTCCAACAGTAATAGGATTCTATTATCAGAATAACAAGAAGGCCTGGATGATGAGCAAAATATTTACAGAGTGGATGAAAATGTTTGATTTAAAAATAAAGAGGAAGATATGACAGGTTCTGCTGACCTTGGACAACTTTCAAGGGCATTCCATTGCTTATACACTTCATAACATAAAGCTGGAGTTCTTTGAGCCCAATATGACTCCATATGTTCAGCTGCTAGATGCTGATATTATCTGCTGCTTCAAGGCACATTATCAGAATGCCATGTATATCCATGCACTTGATCTCAATGATCTTGGAGAGTCTGAGATCTTCAAGCTTGATCTTCTTGAAGCTATGACTATCACTCATGATGCTTGGGCAAATGTCAGCAGTGAAACGATAGCAAACTGCTGGAAACACACCAGTATAATGCCTGACAATGCACCCAAGTCACAGTCTACCACACCATCCAATAATTTTCAAGATGCCTCACTCCTCAAGTCTGCATAGAACCTTGTTCATGACTTTGCCTCAACAGACAAATACATGCTTCCAGGGATCGAACAGGCATTGCAGGATCTGCTTGGAAACCAATATGCTGATGCTGACTGGTGTCCTGCTCTTATGACTGTTATGAATGCAGAGAATGATGTTGGTAAAGCACTGGAGGCAGTCAATCAGTTGGCTTCTTTGTCACAGTCAAAAATGAACACATCTCCCACCCAAATTGCCTCCATTCAACAGCTCCAGACAGCAGAGATAATGTTGAAGGACCATCTTGTTGAATTGAAACAATGAAATTGCATGTTTGGTCTCATTCCAACCATTGAAGAGATGGTTAACTCTATTGCAGAAGAGTATA